AAGGGGTAACAAATACTTCTGGTGCATTTTTCTTGCACTTTTCCTGCTTATTGTGTTTTATTTGGGAGAAAAGTTCCAGACGAAACCTGCTGGTCGCTGTTTTTATTCCTCTTTGTTTTCCCCGTTTGACTAATCAGCTTCATTTCTGCTTTTCTGGGGCAGATTCCTCCTCATTAAACCCATGAGGAGCACAGATGTAGAGCAGATGAGGAGAAGTTAGAGAGAACTTTCAAACTGCTGCTGGAGTCGGACTGCAGCTGCTGCAGGAAGATAAAAACAGCCATGTTTACCGTGAAGTCAGGGGCCGCTTATTTTCATCAGCAGTTAATCAGTTTGTTTTAAGCAGATCTGAAGGTCTGGTTAGGTTTTTAACTGAAGCAGAGCTTCAGCCTCGCTGTACTCCTCGCCTCCATGTCCGTCCTGCCGAGTCCTGATCTGCTCCAACAGATGATTCTGGATCAACGTGTAAAAAAACTGGGCAATAACGATCCTCGCCATTTTCCTTCTCCCAGAGCTAAGCTCATTTCCCTGAACTCAGGCTACATTCTGTAGGTTTGTGCCTCTGCGCTAAGCTAAAAAGCTAACAAACACCAAACACTCCAGTTTGAGAAGCAGCAGAAATTTATATTTTATTTACAAAAATATTAAACGGTTTGAATTTTTCTGGAAGATTTCAGGCCACTTTTTCCGTTAAAAAGCTACAGCCTGGAGGAAACGAGCTTAGCTTTACAAAGCTAGCTCTGTTAGCAGTAAGGCTAAAGGCTAGGTTAGCTTTAATGAAAATTACTATAGAAGAAGAAGGGTGCCATCTATGGAAAGAAAATAAATTAGAAGAAAAGCTGCTGTCTGGAAAACGCTAAAAAAAATAAAAATAAAAACTAGCTTAGCTTGTTTGGCTACAGATCATGCTAGTTCAGAACAGAGCCCAGTGGAGCGGTGTTCTGTCAGATGAGCATACCCCATCAGGCCAGCATACGTGCATGCTCATTATTAGCGGCTATCAGGCCCATAGAATGGCTTCAGATTGCACCACTAGGCCCAGTAGGTTACCATCGAGTGAATCCTGATATGCTGGTCTGACGGGGTATGCCAGTCTGACGGTATCCCGGTCTGACGGTATGCCGGTCTGACGGGGTATGCTGGTCTGACGATATCCCGGTCTGACGGGGTATGCCAGTCTGATGGGGTATGCTGGTCTGACAGAACACTGGTCCTGGAACCAGTGACCTCCTGCAGACCAAAGCCTGGTGGAGGAAGGCTTCTCAGATGAATTTCTAGCTATTTCAGAATATTTAGTAACCAGAACCAGCAGAACCTTCCTGCTGGTTCTGGGGGGTAGAGCAGCACACAGGACCGTGCCTCTGCATCTACAACCCAAAGATCTTGATTTCTAATGATTTTATCGTATAATCAATAATGTGTCTGTCAGGAATGTCATGTTTGCTTTCTGTGTGTGTGTGGGGGGCTTTTAATGATCTTTAATGCCAACTTTTTGTTCATGTGCCTTTTTTAGAACCAAAAGCTGCTTGCTAAACGCTAAACCAAATCCCAGCCTGACTTTGACAGGTTTGCTCATCACTGTACAAGCTTCACTGAACCAAGTCCAATGTTTGTTGATTTACAGACGCACTCCTGCTTTCAGTCCCATACTGTACCACCAATGTATAACGATGCCAACACTAAATAATACTTATAATTTGAATAAATAAATTGAAAAACCCTGGTGAGTAGATGTTTGGTGTTTTTAACTTTCTTTTCTATTTTTTCTGTAGTTTTATTTTTACAGTTTTTTTGTCAAAGTTTCATTCCGAAAGTTTAGTTACTGAGAAAAAAAAATGGTGAGATAAGACCAAAAATGCTCCACAACTATGTTAGGCAAAAACAAACCTGTTTTATATATTAAATCTAACAGCAGCAGGGAGGAAGAATCCAGCTTTGTTTAAGGCTAGGCTTAAAACTTTAGCTTCTAGTTAGAGTGGCTCAGGTTATCCTGATCTATCTCTATAGTTCTGCTGCTA